GGGCACTGGGCAAACAAGAGTGTAAAAAAATTGCTTGCTGTGGCATCCGCCTGCAGATGGGATGCAGGAATGTGGACAGACTTCATTTTTCACAGTCCGAAAACATTTTCATTTTGTTGTGCATATTTTTAAAATAACACAGAAATGCACAGACCACAAAAGCCCACGAGTCAAGCCGTTGAGAACCAAGTCTTGAAGATCCCCCTGAATTCTCTTAAGCCCGCCACTGGGAGGAGGGTGCTTCAAGAAGCCTCTCCCAGCTTCTGGTGGGTGCAGGCTTCCTTAGTTTGTGGCCACATCACTCTAATCTCTGCCTCTGTCTTCACATGGCTTCTCCTCTGTATGAGTTTGTTTCAAACTCCCTCTGCCTCCTTCTTATAAAGATACATGTGAAAAATAAATAAATAAAGAAAGATACATGTGATGGTATCTAGGTTGTCAGGCATTAGCAAAGATTATCCCACCAGGATATCCTCTCAAGATCCTAAATTTAATCCCATCTTTCCTGATATAAGGTAAGTTCCACTCTTTTGCCATTTAAGGTAACATTCAGATTCTAGGAATTAGTAAGTGAATATATCTTAGGGGTACCTGTGTGATAACATTGGGCCCACCCAGATAATTCTTGATACTCTCCCCTTCTTAAGGTCAGCTAAATAGCAACCTTCGTTTCATCTTCACTTTTAAGTCTGCATTGCCCAAGTCAGGTAACATACTTACAGGATTAACATGTGAACATTATTCTGTCCATGACAGATACAGCATAACTGTTACAGGCTGAAATGTATTCCCCTTAACTTCACATGTTGCTATCCTAATTCCTGGAACCTCGGAATATAGCTAGGTTTGGAGACAGGGTCTTTGGGAGGTGATTGAGTTAAAATGATGTCATTAGGATGAGCCCTAATCCAATATGGCTGGTGTCCTTAAAAGAAGAGATGATGACACAGACACCCACATAGGGAAGAGCATGTGAAGGCACAGGGAGAAGACAGCCATCTATAAGTTAAGGAGAGAGACCTCAGAAGGAACCAATCCTGCCAACACCTGGACCTCTGCCTTCTAGTTCTCCAGAACTGTAAAAAGATAAACTTCCAATTGTTGAAGCTGCCTGGTCTGCAGTACTTTATGGTAGCCTGAGCAAACTAATACAGTAGCCCCATCAAGGGAGCTACTCCCCCACCATATTTGCAGGTTTCATTCAAGTCCAAGGGAAAGGGACTACACAAGCATGTATACAGGGGATGGGGCTCTGGGGGGTATCTTAGAATTCAGCCTAGTGCAGGTGGCCTTCCCCATTGACTCCTTTTGCCATGTTAGTCAGAACTTGGTTAACTTCTCTTGCTTGTCTCATTTTACTAAGCTTTCTATTCCTTTCCCACTCACCTTTTATTTATTTTATTGGTCTCTCAATTTTTACATAACCTTAATTCTAGTTGCGGCTTCCCTGATAGATCAGTTGGTAAAGAATCCGCCTGCAATGCAGGAGGCCCTGGTTTGATTCCTGGGTCAGGAAGATCTGCTGGAGAAGGGATAGGCTACCCACTCCAGTATTCTTGGGCTTCCCTTCTGGCTCAGCTGGTAAAGAATCCACCTGCAATGCAGGAGACCTGGATTCACTCCCCAGGTTAGGAAGACCCCCTGGAGAAGGGAAAGGCTACTCACTCCAGTATTCTGGCCTGGAGAATTCCATGGACTGTATAGTCCATGGGGTTGCAAAGAGTCGGTTACGACTGAGCGATTCAAGTTGGGATTAAGATGGACTGGGAATGAAGAATAAGCAAAGTGTGGAGGATAAGGACTGTCTCTATCTAAGAGCAGTAGAAATACTAGGGGGAAAAGAGGCATAATACTCTCAATCTGTCCTACATCCAATTTTTTTGAAAAGAAATGGAATAGAGAAATGTGAACAGACTTCATTTTTCACAGCCCCAAAACATTTTCATTTTCTATTGTGAATATTTTTAAAATAACAAAGTCTGGCTATGCCACATACATTTTTCTTTTAAATATACATTTGTATAGTTTACACATAGCTGAGAAAATCAGATTCTGTTTCTACTATCATTCTGCTTTAAAAAAAATTGTAATTGGGGTGTAGTTGCTTTACAATGTTGTCAGTTTGTGCTGTACAACGAAGTAAATCAGCTGTACATATGCATATAAGGTTGGCCAAAAAGTTCATTCAGGTTTTTCCATATGATGTTCTAGAATAAATCCCCTCCCTTCTGAGTCTCCCGCCCACCTCCCTTCCATTCTTTGTTTTTGTGTGTGTTAATGGGCCAGACCTGAACTTGTGTGTTGCCTCATCCAGTTAAGAAATTGGTGCAACTCTGCAGCCAACAATGCTGGGAGCCTTACCAGCATCAAACCCCACCACCCCCACCCCATCAAACCTCTCCCAGGGGTGGGCACTGAGTGGCCTGAGTTAGCCAGCATCATCTCCAAGTGATTGGTTTGGGACTGGGCACTTGTCCAGGCACAAAATCATCAATGCTTAGCATTGCATGACCAAAGTGATCGTTTCTCTGATGGTTTCACCTGAGTTAGTCCAGAGTAAAGCCCAGAGGGTTGTTCGCAGGTTTGATGACTGTCGGCAGTGTGCTAGTAAAGCCCAGGAACGGCTGCAATCATTTTGTCCTCATGAGAGACGGAAACCTGAGGATGTCACCAATGCACTGAGAAGGATATGCATAGAGAATCGCAGAGAAATGGAGCAGGCACCCTGATTAAACTGGGCCAGTGGATTAGCCCCATTGCTGGCCTTTTCCATCATTTGAACTGCATTTCCAGTTACTTGCCATTGACCAAGAATATCCTTACTAAAACCAGAGCCAGGCCCTGGGGATTCAGTGGTGAAGAAGACAGTGCCTACTCTCCTGAGCTTATGCTTTCAGGGAGAGAGGTAGATAATAAATAAGATCATTTCAATCAAAGTTTTGTGCTGTGAGAGTGATGCGGGACTTGAGACTTTCAATTAGGAGGCCTCTCTAGGGAGGAGACAGGAGAGTTGAGACCTGAAGAGTGAGAAGGAGCCAGCCCTGGGAAGATCTAGGGCAGAGCGAAGAGTTGATGCAAAGCTGTAAGATGGGAGCAAGCAGGGAAGATCTGGTGAAGGGAAAGTGGTCCCACAGGCCGCCCAATGCTGACCAAGGTGGAGCGAATGAAAAACGGCAGAGGCCTTGCTTCTAGGCTATGCATGGAGCCAAGACATTACTCTGGGGGAGACTGGGAGTTATTTGGAGGATTTTGAGCAGAGGTATGGAATGTCTGATCGAAGATGTTTAAAGGAGGAAACCTTCTAGCTGCTCTGTGTTAAAATGACTACAGAAGCAAAAAGAGCAGCCAAGAGCAGTTAGAGGCAGCAGGCAAGGAGTGAAGCTGGTCCAGATCCAGGCAGTTGCAGGGAAGACAGTGAGAAGCAGAAAGATACAGGAAGTTTCATTTCTAGCATCCATTCCCTCAAGGCAGCCTGATGCTCCCCTGAAAGAACATGTCACCTGAGGGGCAAGGGGGTGAGCTACTCCCCACTCAAATCCTGCATCTTCTGAGGGTTAACCTAAATGCATCTTTAATGGGCGGAACAGCAGGATGTGTGTCAGATGAAGTGGAATGATGTCAGTGGAGAGAGGGAAAATATTTGGGGACAGGGATGTCACAGTATTAATGGAGCAGATATGCCTGGGAAACCACTTCTTGGGTTTTTCTCCATGACTTCCTTCACCATTGAGACCAAATTCACTTAAGTTTCTGGGTTAGGTTTTTGCCTCTCTCCTAAGACCACAGTGGTGAGGATTCCAAATGAGGGAAAGGCACCAGAGGAGCCCAGTGGCCAAGTGGACTGTCTCCTGTACACCAGTTTTCAGTTAACATAATTCATTAGTAGTGAAGGGAAGTCAATAAGGCCAAGGACCCCATAAATTCTGATTGTAAACTAAACCTTCAATATAGCATTACACAGGATTCTACATTTGCCTAATAAAGTGCCTGCTACTTCAGGCCTGCTTTATACAAACATCAAGTCCAGCATTAAAAGCATACATGTATAATTCTGTGTCCAGTGGTGGTTTCAAGCCATCTGCGTCAGAGCACAACCTGTTGTAAGTATGTATTTCCCCCACCCTCCAGAGGTTCTGACTCAGGCCAGGGTTAGGTCTGGGCAGTAAATCCCACAAGGAGATTCCAGTGGTTTCTGTCTCCTGAGCTCACAGCACATTTTACATCACATACTTCTGTATATAAATACAATTGTATATAACCTGTACATTTGGATATGTAGATGTCTCAAATCTTTTTTGGAGTGGATATTATTAATGAGAACTAGCTAGAACTCTCCAAAGCACAGGAAGCAGCTGGAATGAGTACAGCTGACCCTTGAACCAATGAAGATTAGGGACTGGACCCTCCCCTCAGTGGAAAATCCTTTAACTCGACACTCCCCACCTGCGGTTCCCCATCTGCAGCTTCAACCAACCAGAGTGTTCAGCACTGTAGTATTCACTACTGAGAAAATCCGTGCATAAGTGGACCCACGCAGTCCAAACCCGTGTTGTTCAAGGGTCAACTGTAAAACCAACATGTGGCCTAGAGGACAGAGGAACGGGGCACCGGCAGGAGGGGGTGGCATGCTGGGCATTGCCAGGAACTGACTACCCCCGTCTAATAAATTAAAGTAGCCACAAGTATTTCCCAGCCTCACTCCTTAATTGGTATTTGAAGCCCATTCACTCCCAAATTAATTTTCTTAAGCCACAAGGCAAGGAGCTGCTGTCTTTCCCTCACTGCTCCACCAATTCTCATGGGCCCATCACAACCCTTCCTGTCTCAGCATCCCTCACAGCTCCACCCGCTTGAATATCTCTGGCCTACATTTCCTGCACAAAAGCTTACCCTTGACAGCTCTGTTCATATCTGATATGGTATAAACAGAGAGGTAAACAAATGCAAAAAACTGAAGAGGTTAATCAACTTACTATTAATTGAACGAGGAGACATCAAGGTGGCATTATGAACTTTTTTAATGACAACAGATGGTAAATTTATACAAATTACAGGTTAGAATAAAACGAATACAAAAACCATCCAGATAACAATTAGAAAAGCATCACTTACAAAAGTAAATCTGATTCAAGTGGCTAAAGAACTCAAGCCCCCCATTTTGATAATTACACGCAGCTTTTAAGGTAGCGCATCTAAACTGCCCCTTGCCAGGGCACTATTCAAGACTACAGCATATTCAGTGACTCTAAAGCTCCTAACACTTTTACCATCAAGGTTAGGACATCTGGTAACAGGTTCACTAAGCAAAAAAAACAAGAATATGTGAACGTTCTTTGCAAACTGTAAGGTGCTGTGCAGATGTTAGCTATTGCTATTATTACTGTTCAGTGACATTTCACTGAACTTGAGAAAAAGGAAGACTAGTCTGTGTAACTGACAAATATGACCTATAGAACATCTTCAAAGGAATGCAGATATTACTTTCAAATACATGTAGCAAACAGGCAAGGAAAGTGTGGCCAGGAGCGATGGTAGGCTGAGGAATTCCAGACTATTTTAATGAATATATAAAGGATTAATCTGTTCATCTGTTACATGTAATATGTATCATTAGAATCCCAAAGTCCCTGAAAATAATTTTTCTCAGGTGACCCTTTTTCCCCTGCAAAAAGGAAAAAGAAATCTTGTCAAGTTATGAATACACTGCTTCAGTCCAGCTCTTGCAAAAACAATCTTAAATGTAAGAGCAGAGTCTGAGTTAATAAAGTTGTACTCTTCTGATGGAGCACAAGAGTGCCTGACAGCAGAGATATCTGCTGCTGACCTAACGAGTGACAATTTTACTTATAAAATGGGTCTAACAGTCTACGACTTCACTTGAGCATAAGTAAAAGAACAAACATGAACTTGTCTGGAGACAAGAAATATACACTAGGTACATTTAAAACAGGATATAAATTCTCATGTACCTTTCATCTTACTTTTACTGGTATCCTTGGGTACACTAGCTGTATATATAAAATTTATTTATATGAAAATGGAAAATAAACACCAAACAAGTCAACTAGTTGCTTTGGGGACAAAGTTGATGAGATCTTTATGATGAAAATAACCTTACAATATATTTCTGTTAAGATTCCCATGAAATGCAGTTGGTTGTTGTTGTTTTTAACGGAGGGTTTAAATTTCTTCAGTAACAACTCAAAAGTGAATTCACATGTAAAATTGGATCCACTTGAAGAGCTAATGACATCATATGCATTCTACAGCAGACTATTTTTTAGCACGATGAGAAAAGAGATTATATTCTGGGGGTCAAAATGGGAGGTGAGGTGAGGTGAAGGTCATGTGTTCAATCAGTAGCCTGTACTGACACTTCAAGTTAAGACCCCTAATTGAGGTTATTCTTACAATCCATTTTCAAACAATAGTGAACATAGTCCTACCTTATAGTATTTATATAAGGGCTCAATTGTAGCTTTTCTTTCTATACATCCTGAAGTATGTACATTGTACAAGAGGAAATCACTGAGATATCTTGAAAAATAAATCTATTTGTCATATACCTTATTATTTCAACAGCAGCAAACTAGTGAGTTAACAGTTAAAACCTTAAGAAAATATTAACTGGTTTGAAAACAAGTTTTTATTGTAATAATTCCATATATCAACCTTACCATCCACGTCTAACTTTCAAATGCTTGGTACTTTTTCCAAGAGAAAATTACGCTGCTTTTGCATGAATCCCTAGTTTAAATACTTGCAGAAAAACACTCATATTATCTACTCAGCAAATGTCTGAAATCAAACAAAATAATCCAACACTGGACATCAATATTTTAAAAATAGCATAAGATTCCAAAAGTACAAGAAAAACCTTGGCATTATAGAAAAAGAAATTAAGTGAACAAATTCTAAGTACAACAAGACATCTAAAGAAGGGACCATCTAGAAATCTACCTTATAGTACATTAGATTCAAACTGGAGTATTTGACAATTTTATATTAAATTTGTACAATTGTATACTAAAACTGTAGTCTCTTTAAGAAAACAGGTTCCATTCAGAATAACTACTTAAGACATTTAAACGGCAAATAACATTTAACTATAAGCGGGAATAAAAAACAGTCCTACAACAATCATTTTGTTTTTTCTCAGCAATTAAATAAACACAAAAGGCTTCTTGGCTTTTATGCCTAACTGTGTCTCTGCTCCTTTAGTCCAATTCCACGACATCCAAAAGCAGAGGGGAACTAACAAAATCCGTGATGGCAAACACTCACAGCAAGGGCCATTGTATGAGGAATTATTAATGACAGAAATACACACAATGAAGTATCTAGTTAAAACAGTAAAGGTAGAATGTGCTGTTTAAGAAAATATCCAATAATCACTCATCTGAAAAAATGCAAATAGACACCAGATAAAATTGGCAGATTCTGAACTTAAACCAAACTTTGTGTATTAAACTAGCATTCAGAGATGCACACGGATGTAAACCAGAACAGTGGTTATATCCAGGTGGCCACACTACAGGGAATTAACATTTTCTTCCTGTTTTAATATGCATTTTTCCCTGTGTGCTTTTAGATTACACACAAATAGTACCAAGTGGCTGGAAAGAATACAGACCAAGGATACTAAAAAACAGGGTCTTTTTCTATCAGAAAGGACCTCAAGAATTATCTATACATATCTGGAACATAACAGCACTGATTAAAAATTCCAAGAATACTTCCTGGGTGATAAAAAATAATAGATTTTCATGATTGTTTACACTCTGTAAGTATGCAAAAATGAACATATTTAAAAGTAAATTCTTTCATATACATTATTTAAAAGTAGGAAAAACCGAGTTCATACAACCTCGTAATTAAAGTGTAAGCTCATTGTTGAGTGACAGAGCAAAGCAGACCATTAAAGAGCTCCTCTGAAAGCAGGAGGCTGGCCTGTAAGAGGCCTTTAGGGAGCAAGCCAGGTGCCCAGGCAGCTAGCTCTTTGCTTTGCTATCTGCATTCTTTAATAAACCCAGTCCTTTTACATGAATGCCTGTGATTCAGCCTAGTTTCCCCATGAAATAATGTAAAGAAAGATTTCTATTGACTAGGGATTACTACTACTTTATGCAAAATTTCTCAGTGACACTCAGATTAACTCCAGTGTCCACAATTTAAGCAATTTTCAACAGGCATTTACAACCCAAAATCTAATGACTTGGTATTTTCATGACAGTCAGGGAAAGTGTTCCAGCGAAAAATAAAATTTAGATTTGCTCCACTATGTATATCTGAATACAACCATAGAGTAAAACTCAAAGCCAACTAAAAGAAAAAATGCTATATAAAACATTTTTTTGTTGTAAGATAATAAAATTCTTCCCAGAATAATGCATAATTAATTTCACATACTTATTTATAACCAGTTTAGCTTTTCCAAATTCTCATTTGCAAATGAGAGACTCAGACAATTAAAACTGATGATACAAGGCATTGTTTTAGAAGGATCAAAATTTACACTGGTCAAATGTGAACTCCTCAAGATTGATTTTAACAAGTTCTTTCAACTTTATTGAAATCATCAATATCACAGATCGATTTACCATTTAAAAAATCAATTTAAAACTATCAAAAGGCAATGTTCACTTTAATCCTGTTTGCCTTCACGCCACTGCCGTGAGCCTTCATTCCAGGCCACATAAACAAAGAGGGCCAGCACCACGTGGACGGCGACCACTGCAACAATAGCAGCATAAAAATAGCTGTCCCTATTGGACATCCCAAAGGCGCCTATCAAGAGAAAAAAGTTTCCATTTTATTCCAAATATATAAAAATATAAAAATCAAAACATATTATTTTTATTAGCTATATATTTATTTAACTAGTCAGACAATTAAGAAGGAATACCTTGTGTGGCGATAAATCAAGTACTCATATAAAGATGTGAATACCTTCTATACATGAAGAACATTATTTTGAATGAAAACCACAATAAATCACTTCATCTAAGGACTCTGACATAATAAAGAGGGCTTTATTTTCTCTTCCTTCCAATGTCTGCCAGCAAGAGTACATTCCCCCACTCCTCCTCCCATGTCAACTCTCGCTCTCCAGGGGCTATTAAAAGAAAGGATCTGCAAGCTATCACACAGAAACCCGTAAACCAATATGATGTCAAACAAATAACTGAGTGATGAAAAATTCATTTCATGAAGATTCATTATGAGCAATGGGATTTTTGAAAAGCAAAACAGAAGCAAGTCAAATTAATATCCAGTTTACAGATATAAAGAGATCATGAGAGCATAGAATCTCATATATAGTTAAGGGTGAAAATGTCTTGTTTTATGTCTAGGATTACCTTCAAAAACGTAAGATTTAGTTGTGAAATATAACCCAATAGGTACAGTGATCATTAAAGCTGTGAAGAACAGGAGCGTCTTCAGAGTGGATGCTAATGAACTTTCATTTCTGGAAAAAAGTAAACAAAGAGAAAATCAGAGCCTGCAAAGCCATTTCGAACCATTCTTGTGTTCGTAAATGCTATAAATACCCACAGAAAAGATGCTCGGAACCTTGCCCTTGCCTTGAAAACAGTGGCCAGAAGAAGAGCAGTGCCAGGGACTCAAAATTCGAATAGCCTAGAGATCCAGTGGCAGACCCATTGTGAAAGGAAATGTAAAGTGCAAAAAGTGGTTTGGAATCTTCCAAGTGCTCTGCAAATATACACGATTTACTGAATTCACAATGGAGGTAGCAAGGCAGAAGGTACACAGAAAACAACTAATGAGGTTCCTTCACAAAGCATCCTATCAGTGGCTAGCTGAATACAGTACAGACAAGGTATGCGAATCTCCAAAGAAAAAGGAGCCCAGAGCAATCTGGATGCAGCTGAAGGAAACTTTGCTCAAATTTCTTTGTAATTAAGTAGCGAGGGTACAACTTAGATGGTCTTCACACAGCATGGATGCATTAAAAGTTTGATATCAAAACACTTTATCTTCCATGCATTCTATCGCTCATAGGCTTTAAAAATCAATGGAAATATTCCAATGGGAAAGTTGTGTTCTAGAATACAATAAAATGATTCTGAAGAATGCAATTAAGCTTCTAAAATCATACAATTAAAGAAAAACAAGTCAGATAAATGGCGACTTAAAACAGTAACAATGGGTAACATAAAAATGTCCAATAAAGGGGAAATGATTTCACAAATTATGCTTATCAATATGGAACCATTAAAACTAATTTTGACAAGTATTCAGCAAATATCTATGTGAGAAATCAACAAGGCAGATTACACTGTTTTTATGTATATCAGCGGTCTGTCAAATAAGCCCTGAAAGGCCCCTTGCCTACTTCTGTAAATAAAGTATAACTGGCATACAGCCACACTCGCTTGTTTATGCGTCACCTAAGACTCCAGGGAGATTCAGAGACAGAGCTTAGTAGTGGTGCCAAACCACATGGCCTTCAAACCTAAAATATTTACTATCTGGCCCGTTCCAGAAAAACTTTGCCAATAGTATAGATGTATACTATTCCAATTACATTCAAAAGGTGTGCACATGAAAAAGGACTCCAGATTAATACACAATAATAACATAAATTTCCCACTTTCAAATATTCCTTAATGTTGTTTTACCCGCTTTTCAACAAGTAGATATATGTCAGCATTGGTCCCATGCATCATCACAAATGATAACACTACTGACAGGGAAGCTGTAGTAAGCTTCCAGCAACCCTGGACACACACACACACCCCTCATCCATATCACCGCAAAGGTTACGTTTAAAAGCACTAAGCTTTTATCCTATGGGCTTTTATCCTGTAGATTAAAGGTCCCTTTTCACTTCAATCTAACCACTCTCACACTACCTTGTCAGGGATAAAGAAATTTTCCTCTACTGTCTAGGTTCTTTGTGGCTGGTCTAAGAATTAAACGGACATGAGACACATTAATGGAAGAAAAACAAAGTTTAATAACATGTATACATGGAAGAGACCCAGGAGAACTGAGTAACTTGCCAAATGGCCAAAACCCTCGCCTTAAATATTGTCTTCAGGTTAAAAAAAAAAAAGACAAAAGAAGATGTTGTAGGTAGGGGTTTGGGACTTCAAACAGGAAGAAGACAATACACATAGAGATGGAAAAGCAGATGTTCAGTCAACAAGTGTTTCCTAGGCCATGTAGAGTCTATGGGACACAGAGCAGTCTCCAGTTTCTATGCCCTGTCCCCTCGACCCCACCGCACCTAGCCCATATTCTTTGCAAATATCTCTGGTGACAGCTCTTTTCCAGGAACAGGCCCTGTGTCTAAATTTTTTCACGCAATTAAGGGGAAGGTCAAAGTTTCTTCCTGAGTCTCTGGGGCCTTGACTGTGGTCAGTTTGAAATAATCTGCACATCAAAGAGACATTTTGGGGCGGCAAGTGTTGCTCCCTCTATAACCTTAACACATGTCTAAATTTATGTTCATAGTCAACACTTGAACTTAATTCTTCCTGGTAATCCTCAGCAAGAGGTTTCAGTTTTGATCTACATCTCTATGAGGAATACAGCCCAGCCATCAAGGTCCTTTCAAAATAAGAAGCTGCCTCTCCTCTAGGCAGCTTTCCTGATTATGCCAGCTGGTACAATTCACTGCTCTGGGACCCAACCACACTTACTTCATGCCCGTTATTACAGCACTTAACATGACAGCTTGTGTCCCAGACAGTCCTGCACATTCCTTTGTACCTCTAGAAAATCCAGGCAAAGGAATTCTTCTAATTGTGTGCATACCATTACGGGGGGAGGCTTCTGACAGCCCAGAAAGAAAGAGAACATGTTAAGTTTACACCAATGGTCTACAAACTTTTTTGACTGCGTGATCCATCATTAAAGTTTTGAGCATATATTCCCATATAGGCATAATGATTTTTAAATAAATTATCTATACACATATTAGTCACGGAGTCTTTAAAATATAAAAACAAGGAAAAACAGATACTAAAAATGTTAAGGTTAAAAAAATTTATGTAGAAATCTGTTTTCTTTCCATTCGTCAATGAAATATCTTTTAATACATCTCACTTTAGTGATCACTGAGCTACACAATTCTCATCTAACATACCTAAGCTTCCGTACACTGTTTCCTAATAGAAAATTTTTAGAAAATTTATCTTCATCAAGAAGGGGTGTCTGCCATACACAAAAATAAACTCAAAATGGATTAAAGATCTAAATGTAAGACCAGAAACTATAAAACTCCTAGAGGAGAACATAGGCAAAACACTCTCCGACATAAATCACAGCAGGATCCTCTATGACCCACATCCCAGAATTTTAGAAACAAAAGCAAAAATAAACAAATGGGACCTAATGAAACTGAAAAGCTTTTGCACAACAAAGGAAACTATAAGCAAGGTGAAAAGACAGCCCCCAGATTGGGAGAAAATAATAGCAAACGAAGCAACAGACAAAGGATTCATCTCAAAAATATACAAGCAACTCCTCCAGCTCAACTCCAGAAAAATAAATGACCCAATCAAAAAATGGGCCAAAGAACTAAACAGACATTTCTCCAAGGAAGACATACAGATGGCTAACAAACACATGAAAAGATGCTCAACATCACTCATTATCAGAGAAATGCAAATCAAAACCACAATGAGGTACCATTACACGCCAGTCAGGATGGCTGCTATCCAAAAGTCTACAAGCAATAAATGCTGGAGAGGGTGTGGAGAAAAGGGAACCCTCTTACACTGTTGGTGGGAATGCAAACTAGTACAGCTGCTATGGAAAACAGTGTGGAGATTTCTTAAAAAACTGGAAATAGAACTGCCACATGACCAGCAATCCCACTTCTGGGCATACACACCAAGGAAACCAGATCTGAAAGAGACACGTGCACCCCAATGTTCATCGCAGCACTGTTTATAATAGCCAGGACATGGAAGCAACCTAGATGCCCATCAGCAGACGAATGGATGAGGAAGCTGTGGTACATATACACCATGGAATATTACTCAGCCATTAAAAAGAATTCATTTGAATCAGTTCTAATGAGATGGATGAAACTGGAGCCCATTATACAGAGTGAAGTAAGCCAGAAAGATAAAGACCATTACAGTATACTAACACATATATATGGACTTTAGAAAGATGGTAATGATAACCCTATATGCAAAACAGAAAAAGAGACACAGATGTATAGAACAGACTTTTGGACTCTGTGGGAGAAGGCGAGGGTGGGATGTTTCAAGAGAACAGCATCGAAACATGTATATTATCTACGGTGAAACAGATCACCAGCCCAGGTTGGATGCATGAGACAAGTGTCCGGACCTGGTGCACTGGTAAGACCCAGAGGGATCGGGTGGAGAGGGAGGTGGGAGGGGGGATCGGGATGGGGAATACGTGTAAAACCATGGCTGATTCATGTCAATGTATGACAAAAACCAGTACAATATTGTAAAGTAATTAGCCTCCAACTAATAATAAAAAAAGAATGAGTGTCTGCAGTTCTATAAAAATACAAAAAAATCATGTCCACAGAAAACAAAAAACACTAATTTGAAAAGATACATGCACTCCAGTGTTCACAGCAGGATTATTTACAATTGCCAAGATACAGAAGCAACCCAAGTGTCCATCAACAGATGAACAAAAGAGATGCAATATACACACACACACACACACATAATACATACAATGGAATACTACTCAGTCATAAAAAAAGAATAAATGCTGCCATTTCCAACAACATGGACAGATTTAAAGGGCATTATACTAGGTGAAATAAGCCAGGCAGAGAAAGGCAAATACTGTATGATATCTTTTATATGTGGAACCTAAAAAATACAACAAACCAGGGAATGTAACAAAAAGAAGCAGATTCACAGATAAAGAGAACAAACAGTGATTACCAGTGGGGAGGGTTGGGAGGGGCAATATAGGGGAAAGGGAGTGTGAGGTACAAAATATTGTGAAGACAGGCCACAAGGATGTATTGTACAATACAGGGAATGTAGCCAATATTTTGCAATAACTATAAATGAAGTGTAACCTTTAAAATTGTGTAAAAAAATTTAAAAATACATACATACATACAAGAAGTCAGTATTTGGCCAATTCTTTTGTGGACCCCAACAAAAAACTTAGCCTTCACAGTGTTTGTGTTTTGGGTGTGCAAAGTACAGATCATCTAATCTGATACAGAAACAAACCTTGAGAATCTAGAGAAAGGGAAGGTTAACCAGTTCGTCTGTTCTTTAGATTATCTCCTGAATATCAATTATCTGGCCTGGCTTTGAGAAAAGTTTATTACTGAAAAGAGAATATAATATCATAAGAATGTTTTAAAGCACACAAAATCACTTACCATCCCATCACCCAAACACAATCTTTTCTGCGTGTTAATTTCTAACCCCACACACACTACATAGAGCATATCTCAACAACTTGCTGCTCGTCTTCAATTCCTTCTTACCTATCTTAAGCCCCCAAAATTTGACTTTCAGTCTCTCAAATACAGGACTAAGGACAAAGTTAAGCATACAAACTTTTGAAAACTAGTTTTAAAACTTCCTCCAGTGTTTATATGACATTTTCTCCTTGGCTTCCAGCCACAGCCCACTACAGCCAGTAGTTCTGCTGGCACAAGCCAGCCTGGGTTATAACCCAGTGAGGTATTCTAAAACAAAGCAACTGAGGTCTTTCAACTGATTTCTCCTATGTGTCTCTGATTGAGCAAGGAAGAATTCAAACATTTAGAGTTAGAACTAGCCTCACACAAATAATTGAGGATTGTGCCCCCACTCTGAGAACCATCTGGAGTTTACCCACTTCAGATAAACTTCTGAAGCAAACACGAAGCAGATGAAGCTTACCATGTTCCCCTTTATTGCGAGGCCTATACTGCAAGTAGATTTCACCGCAAATTCCATGCAGAAACACTACAAGCAGTCTAGGAGGCATATACTGTATTTTAAGTATACTTAATAAAAATATTTGTTGGAGGCCTCACTAATAAACAGTAATTTAAAAAAAAACCCACCTACATCGCCATTGTGAGAGTGAAAAAAGATCACGGGGGCTCCAAAGATCCTGGGTTTGGACAACTGCTAGCTTTCAACACTAATTGCGCGAGGTAACCCTGTGATCTTGCGCAAGCCACTCATCCTGAGTCAACTTCACTGTTTTTAAACAAGCAGCACACTAAGCACTTTCCCAATTCTGATAATGCACGTAACAAACCGGGCAAAGAATCTGCCTGCAAGGCCGGAGACACAGGAGACGTGGGTTCGATCCTTGGGTCGGGAAGATCTCCTAGAGAAGGAAATGGCAACCCACTCCAGTACTTCTTGCCTGGAAAATCCCATGGACAGAGGAGCCTGGAGAGCCACAGTCCATGGGTCGCAAAGGGTCAGACACGACTGAGCAACTAACACACAGGCATGTAACAAAGCACCTAAGCTGGGCCTGGCACACACACACTGAATGGGAGCTAAACCCCTCCCCACCCTCTGACCTCTAAAGGTATCTTGGGCCAGGCTAGTCCACCAGGACCACCTGCTTTTTCCTCAGGTTCCTTCTACTCAGCCAGCAGCCCCCATCCTACTGACGCCCTGAGTGAAGTAGGCTCAAACCCGGGGCGGCCCTTTGTCCCTTCCATTCGTTCACTCTTGCAGCAAACATTTATTAAGCCCTGACGATGTGGGCCCTACAGGGGACCTGGAGATGGAGAAGGCCCGGTTCCTGTCCTCAGGGAGCTCACCCTGCAGTGGGGAGAAAGGCTGCAGACAGCAAGACCGCAATACAGACAAGACAGAAAGAAGTGCTAGGCCAGAAACAAGAGCTGAAGAACCCGCCCACCTAGCCACCATGACCCCGGGTCCCTCGCTCCCGAGGGAAGGGCAGGGGCCCGGCATGCAGACGCTGCAAGCCCCAACCTGCTTCCCCGCCCTCCTCTAGCCCTCAGCCCCAGCCCCGAGGGTCCGGATCTCAAGCCCACCCACCGGTCGGCCCGGGCTTTCCCTCTCGCCCCGCTCCCGGCCCGGACCAGTCCGCCTGGTGCTCTAGGCCCTCGCCTGACTCCGGCTCGCTCCGGACTACCTGAAGTCGGACGGCTGCAGCGCGTTCAGCGCCGCTTTATCAAGGCGCTCCATGGCGTCGCCACGCCCGCAGCTCAGACGCTCAGACGCCGGCTGGGCTCCGCAGTCGCGCTCGGTCTGCTAGGCGGGTAACCGGTCCGAGCGGGCCACGCCGGAAGTGCCGGCGAGTGCCGGGCTCTGGGCCGCAGCGCGCAGGCGCGGCGCCCAGGTGACGCCTGGTGGCGGCGGCGGCGGCCGGCGCAGGCGTTGTTGGGAGCCTGCATGTGACTTACCGGCCAGGGCTGCGGGGCGAACGCCCTGCCAGGAGCGGCCTGCGCTCCAGGAGCAGGCCGGGCGAGTAGCCCAGCCACTCCACGTTGAGCCGGGACTTGCCTCGCAGCATTGTCCTCCGGGGAGGGCGGTGCTGCGGCCGCCCCCTGAGCGCGCGCGAGCAGCTCTCGCCTCAGTTCCGGCCTCTGCTGTCGATCTGTGCTTGCGAGGCGGCTGGAACAGATGATCTGCGAGGAAGGACGACCAGGCGGACGACTGGGGTGCTAGGCAACCAAGCAGTTTCCGACGACAACAACAACACAAAAAAGCAGTGCACATTATTCCCCAGCCCTTGAGTAAACGCCTCATTAATTATTGCCCGCAGTGAAAGTCCAGCCTTGGGAAGCTGGGAGGAGTTAGTTTAGCACTCACCCGAGTCTGTCAAGCTAGGCAATGTCAGAGCTGAAAGAGCTCTTGCTGAGAGTGACTGTTCCAGGCCAGACACTGGGGATCCTAACTTCCACTTAAAGTTAAAAAATTATTTTGCAGCTGCTCAGAAAGCTGCCTATGAGACAACAGGGACTCAAATAGTAAGGGACAGATGGGCCTCCAGGGCTGAACAACCAGAGAGAAGTATAAACGAAAAGGGTGCATGAGCCTAGGGTCAGGCTTGACAAAATTAGGTTGCTGCTGGCTGCTAATAAGAGGACAGCCCTTACATGGTCAACGCCTGGAAAAGGCCGCTGACCACACATCTATTTTCTGCACCACATGGATACAAAGACCGCATCTGAAATCATGACTAAACCAACAGCTTAGAGCCGCCTTAGGGGCCGTGGACTGGAAAGCAGGAAGCCCGGGTTTGCGTTCTAATTACTAAAATTGTAATCCCTCTCTGGGCCTCATCTAGAGCCTTGTGGTTATAAGAACCGCCTAATGCCAGAACTACAGTAGTATTAGAGAGACTAGCTCGTGGGTTGGCAAACTGTGGCCAGTCTGCCAAATACCTACAGCATGTCTGCCACCTGTTTTTCTACAAGGTGTGAGTTAAGAATGGTTTCTCCACTTTCAGATGGTTAAAAAAAATCAAAAGAATAGTATTTCACTACACATTAAGATTTATATGAAAGTCAGATTTCTGTGTCCATTAATAAAATTTTATTGGAACTCAGCCATGCTCATTCTTTTGTATTGCCTATGGCGGCTTTCATGTTACAATGGCAGCATTGTGTAGTTGTTTGTGACAGAGACTGGGCCACAAAGCCTAATGTATTTACTATCTGCCCCTTTCCAGGAAAAGTGTGAGGACCCTTGCTCTAGCTAATCACCTTGGGACGAGGTGCTTGAAACCCCAGGGATCAAAATGTAGTAAAGGGGGTCCTGACAATTTTTAATATTTTTAAAAACCTAATGAATTGAACGTATTTACTCACCATAAGAGATCAACAGTTACTTTAAAACATCACCTTCCTTTGATTTGTGGCACTAATTATATCACATTGATGAGGTAATCTTAGTTAACTCTTGAGAAAATGCACAACTTATTACTAAACTAAAATAAACTGTGCTATATTTAGCCAACTAAATCTTTTAAAACTTAGAATGAACACAGAGTGGAGGGATATTTGCTTTTAGACTTTGCATATCTCCAATGCCAGGACTTCCTTGGCAGCTCAGTGGTAGAGAATCCACCTGCCAATGGAGACTTGGGTTTGATCCCTGGGTTGGGAAGATCCACTGAAGAAGGAAATGGCCACACACTCCAGTATTCTTGCCTGGGAAATCCCATGGCCAGAGGAGCCTGGCGGGCCATAGTCCATAGGGTCGTAAAGAGTCGGACATGACTTATCGGCTAAACAACAACAAACAACCTACTCCGGTATGACTGTAATTAAAAAATTACAATGACCCTATTTCCAAGTAAGGTCACATTCTGAGGGGTTAGGAGTTCATACAGACTTGGGCTGAAGGGGGTACACAATCAGCCCATAACAGTATTCTAAGCTCCTCTTTGTACAGATGAGCAAACTGGTCTGGAAGGGACTTGTCAGAAGTCACACATTTATCTAATGGAACATCACTCAAGTCCTGTCTCCAAGGCTGGCACATTAGCAGCCTCTGGGGCAGTTGTGTGATAACTCAGTCAATAACCATTCATAAATACAATTTGAGGTGGGACAAAATGCCTGGCTAATCTTATTAGCATATTGGTGTTTTATGTAAGCTAAACCTCTGTACCTCTCTTTCTTGCTGACTCTTACACTCTAACAATATTTACTGTGAGCTCATCTCACAGTAGATGGAGAAAGAACTTGTAGCGTAAACTCAGAAACTGTGAGAGAAAGATAGAAATTAGCCAGCCCCCTGGCCGCTCAGCAAAAGCCTGAAACCTCCTACCTGCAGCAGCTGCTAAAGAGCTGGAGGGCAGTGGAGCCCAAACAGAGCTGTTGCCATGAGAATGAAATGGCATGTCAAGTGGTTTGGTCATTACAGAGGCATCAGTAAGTAAAGCTTCCGTTGTTCCCTCTGAGAATCAGAAAATGATTCTCAAACTGAAAGAGCCCCAGTCAGACCCTTTCATTTTAGTTGAAAAAAGTGAGAGCTGAAGTTGGGAAATGACTTACTCCAAATTCACTGGATCAGTGATGGGATTAGAGAATTCATAAGTTCCTAATTCTTCAGTGTAATAATATTTTTTACACGGCATTGTTTTATATTCTGTAGTATAAAACCAGTGACATGGAAAGTGTACACACAAAGTCCAATTTGACAACAACCTCCAGTTTGCTTTACTGACTCAAAACCATAACACTCCCCTCCCCCAACAAGTCCCCCTTTGGGTGGCCCAAACTGGAATTGCAGAGAAATGGCCATACTAGAAATACCAACTGATACTCTCTGAAGTGCTCCTTGCAGAGAGTGGTGTTTTAAAAACTAAGCCATGAAAGAAATAGAAATAAGCTCTACCACACAATCAACAAAACTCATGCTTAAAGAGAGAGAGAGAGTAACTCTGGCTTCTTTATAATGTGAGTGCGATTTGTATTTTCTTAAAAATACAAATTGGTGAAATATGCCCCCTGGTGAAAAAAAATATAAATAAAGGGTTTGGGCTGGGAGTTGTTTTAGTAACAATTTCCTCTGTCAGGACCCCCTGTGCAATGAAACGCGAGAGTTTGTTGTTTTGTTTATTTGTTGCTGTCTCTGACAACAGAGAATTAACTAATTTATTTAACAAGTGAATATTCATTGGAGGTGCTGAAGCTGAAGCTCCAATACTTTGGCCACCTGATGCAAAGAACTGACTCACTGGAAAAGAGCCTGAGGCTGGGAAAGATCCAAGGTGGAGGAGAAGGGGACGACAGAGAATGAGATGGTTGGATGGCATCACCGACTCGATGGACATAAGTTTGAGCAAGTTCCGGGAGTTGGTGATGGATAGGGAAGCCTGGCGTGCTGCAGTTCATGGGGTCGCAAGGGGTCGAACCCAATTGAGGAACTGAACTGAACTGATTTAACAAACACTTATTAATGAAATGCAAGTTTTACTCAAGAATGAGCCTTTTTTCTTGAATCCTGCCTCTTTCTATTATTTCATCTCACTCTACTTCTGCCACCACCATTGCCCTAAGCATGAGTCCAGTGGTTCCTTTTGCTGCGCGTGTTCACTGATCCCTGAAATTTATATTCCCATGTCATAGGTGGAAAAACTGAGGCTCAGAAAAATTGTGGAGTTGAGTAAAGGTCTCATAGCACCCCTTGTCCCTACTCTCATTCCATTTCCCTAAAATGTACCTCAGGCAACTTCTTCCAGGTCTACTTCTGGAGGGCTAAGCTCAGATCCAGAGCTAGTGCAGGCACCTGCTCCTGCAGTCAAGGAATGCTTGGAGTTTGTGGCTGAGGATCCTTTTCACCCACGTGACCCCACAGAGCCCAGGAGTTGAGACCTACATTGCCCTAAGCACAGCTTGTGGACATTCTGGCAAAATGGAAGTAAACAGTGGGGATCAGTGTAACAGCCCCCTAGCCTACCTAGGGTGGTGCAAGGTCAATCCAGGGAGCTGCACCCTTGGCACATCATGCGCTTGTTACTAGGAGAGGAACCCCGGCCCGTGAGGGGCGGCAGGGCCACAGTTGCCAAAGCCAAGTGAAGAATTCTGGCCCCGGAGCTTTCCAGATGAGATTGCCACCGAAGACTGTGCTATGGGAAAGGGGACTGGACAATGGCACCCTGAGAGTTGATGTGACAGGGTCACAACCCACAATATACACACGTTGTGCCCTACGAGTGCCAGGCTGAGAGCAAGCACTCGTTGGTTGAATGAAGAAGTGACTGCTAATACCAAGACAGCCAGGCTGTGGCTCATCGAGACTGTGAAGTTCAGCAATACAGTCATGGCGGAGCTCATGGGCCAAGACTTTGGGGTGGAGTTGCCACATGGTCTACTCCTGCACCAGGTGGACAGGCGGGAATGGGTGGGGCACCGCTCCCCTTCCAGCTCAGGCAACTCTGGTTGGCCTGAAGCCTCCTTCTGCACCTCGCAGGAGGCCTGCTTCTCCCGGCGGGCCAGGGCAGGCCCTGGAGGGGTGGAAAGCCCCATCCACCAGAAAGCCCCGCACACTGCCCGTGGAAGCTAGTGGAGTCTGGGGCAGGTGCAGTGTGTATTCCAGGCAGTCAAGTAGGGGCTCTAAGGTCTCCTGTTACCCCAGGCTGGCATGCCCAGCCCAACTGCACTCCCAACATTCATCCAATACAATTAATACATAACTGATGAATGAGTGAGTAAGAGAGAGACACCCAAGGAAAAACCCAAAGTTCTAGGCAGCTTCGCAAGGCAAAAAAGCTATAAGTTTTGTTTCAGGATTTTGCTTTTTCTTTTTTTGTTTTGTTTTCTTGTTCTCTGTCTTGTTTT